AGCCTCCTCTTGTAAGTACATTTTTATTAAGCTCGACTTTCAAGAACGTTGTGAATTTCGACTTTATTTAATTAAACACGTAAGTGCGCTAAAATGACTCAAACCCTTTCATATATCAAATATTGTGCACAACTTTCTCATTTCACAAAGGAAATATTCATCAAATTTGGTGATATTAGGTTATGAAATTTCACTTAATCGCTTTTTGGAATAAACTGAGGATATTACTTGCTTAACGTGCCTGATATTTATAACAGTGTCAAAATCCGTAGACTACACTAGGTAGGACTTAGGAATTTTACCTAGAAGCAAGTTCTGTTGTACCTTACTGATCTCCCAAAGTTCTGGTCTTACTCCCCTTGCCCCGGAGCGCATACCAATCTTCACAAGCGCTTGTCACTTGTTATTAAATTTAAAAAAAAAAATACAAAGCGTATTAAAATAATGATATTTTAACCTATCAGTAAAGCAACTTTATTAGAGAAATGTTGAATGAGATAAAAAACAATTATTACTTAATATAAAACTAGATAAATTTTATTTTTTATTTTTTTGGGGGGTTGGGAGATGACATGATTGCTCGGAGGCGCTGAGGCCGACACTGTTCCCAGAGTTCTGCTTTAAAAAAAAATCAGCATATCGTAATAATATAGTGGGTGAACGGGCTAACGCGGGTGCACAGCACCGCCGTTGCCTGGCAACCTCATATACGAGATAAAATTATAAAAAAAACAGTCACGAGTTCGCGTTCCAGTGCCGGAGGAGTTTTTGAAATCCCCTCCCCCACACTCCCTGGCCCGGAAAAATCCCGTATAGCCTTAAAGGCGAGGAAGGAGAGGACCCAAAAAAATCGTAATAATATGGTTGTGCCGTGCTAAGTTGCTTGGCCTTGAAAAGGACATTGATCTCCTATACTCCGGTTGCGCAGTTCCGGAAACAGCTGTACATATATTGTGGGCTGTAGCGTCTTTGAGGCACTTGGGACTAAACTTCTGAGGGAAACTACATAACTACGTCCTGTCTGAGAACGATTTTTCTCAGTCGGTCCTTTGTCAATGGATTAAAAACCGCAGTTGGCCCTATTTTAATATTCCGAGAAAGAAGACTATGTGCTGGACGACCGGCGGAGAGAGGAGACGAAGAAGAAGATGGAGGCTTCTTGAATACGAGCACATGACGCCTATGTTATCGCTAAATGTTAATTGGCAAATTTGCATACGCCGCAAAGTTGCCGATACCCGTTTAGCCTGAATGCAAGGAAGGGCGAATAAATAAATAAAAAATATCGTAATAATGTTGTAGTTAATATATTTAAAAAAATATGTATCATTTCATAATATTGAATCAGTTTATTGATTGAATTTAATGTTATAACAACCACAAAATGGATTTTTTTTATTTGATCTGAGACAAATTCGCTCGTGATTTACCGCTTGAGTGAAATGTCTCCTTGTCCCATCCCAATTCCCTGACGCCAAAATGGGGCCCGAGGAGATAAAAAAAATGCCTGGTGTCTATCTTATTCATAAAACCATGCTGGGAAGCCGCCCGACGCTTCTATGAATGGATGGTGTTGAAGAAGATTCAAGGTCTCTTCGCGGAGTTCGGAATTGGAGGTCATGCGCACTGCACTGATTTAACTGGTAGCTGCTGGAGGAGGCATATATTCAGAAATCATCGTGCAAGAGACGGAATCGGAAGACTTATATAAAGAACATTTTTATCTATGCATAATTATATTATGACCAAAAAAAAGAATAAATATAAAGATAATAAAATATGTTTTAATAAATATAATTTTCTATGGGAATTTTTACTTGTTGGGCGCATGGCTTTACTAGCCTTTCATCTCTATAGAGATAAGTCTAGAAAATATAAGTTACTTACCCATTATTTGGCCATGATTAAATATTTATCCTACCATGCTCAGGTGAGAAGGGGTTAGGTTGGATATTTTTATAAAACAGCAAAAAAAGTTAAGAGATCTATTTACAGAAAGAAATATACACAGAATTAATACTATATACCAAAAAAAAAAAAGAAAATACAAGGAAAAAGAGAGAATTTAAACATAATTACTATATACAATTAAAGAAATATAGGAAGATACTTAAGATTATAAAAATAACAAAAAAGATACTTATTCTATATACAATAGAATGGCATGCCACATATAAACATCAAGAAACGATAGTCAAGATATAAGAGCACTTGCACGTGCTAAGATAGGAATTAATAATTAGTCACAGAAAACAAAAACGAACTCTCGCTAGAAGTTCCATTTTTTTTTCAATGCTTCCTTAATCTTGGCTACAATATAACATCCATTTAAACGTTTAATTTTGAGCTAGTCTGCCAAATCAACAGTGGGATTTAAAATGGAAATCCAAATGCGTGATAATTTCATATGAAGATAATTTGTTTCAAACCAATATAAAACTGGCCGCTTTGATGCCGTGGTAGACGAGCATATTTAAGTTTTCCGCTCTTATATTCTCGAGTTTAGCGGGACCGGTTCGAATCCGGGTTGAGTAGATTTAAATTTATTTTGTGGTCAATAAATACCACGGGATGAATCTCCCACCTCCTCACTCTGGTTAGAATAAAGCTCCCCTTATGCCACAAATGGCGAGGTTAGGTGTAAGTGAAAAAATTGCGCGTCTCTTAGAAGGAAAAAAAAAAACGAAGTCGAGAGTGGCCGTCATCTTAGAAAACAAAATTGAATATACATTTTATTATATTTTTTTCACCCAATTCTGCACTATTGCAAATATCAAAGATACAACTATTCCTACGAAGACAAATATCGGAAATTATTTTATACCGCATTCTATCTGCTTCAATTTGGACCATGATTGAGTTATTAACGTTCAAAAGATCAAGGGAAACAGTCTTTCAAAGAATGCATGTTTTTTTTTAACAACATACACCATTTTGGGATTTTATTTTATCTATCTATCATGAGAACCGCTAAAAATAAGATAATTATTATAAACTACTTGCAAGTAACAAAAAGAAAAATCAATATTTTAAAAATATTATGTGGTGTTTATCAATTCACTTACCTATGTATGAAATGTACCTATATATTGAGGTCTCCTGAGTCCAAATAACCATGACCCGCAAAATGGTCTGTGTGTGTGTGCGTGAGTGCGCGTGTATGTATGTGATGAGTCTTGCTCAAAAACGAAAAGTCGTATGAAACTGAAATTGCATATTTGAGGTTTTTATAAGCCTTCAATGTTTCACTAATATTTTCGTTAAAATCGCCAAACCGGAAGTGGCACTTTATATAACAGTTATACACATTTTTTACAATTTTCTCAAAAACGGCTCAAACGATTTTGATTAAACTCACTACATCAGTGTATTGTTAAGTAGTTTTTAATATAATGTAGGTTTTATTCCCATTAATGTTCTCTAACAGGGCTTAAATGGCTAATTTTCATTTCTGTAGCTTCCTCCAAAATACCTTTAATTGTTTTTATTGTTAAATAAATTAAAACAAATAAGATTAAATGAAATATAAAAAGAAATTCCCTCGTTGGACCTATACCCAACCAAAATTAAATCTCTAACTCGCCAAATTCACCAAAGATAGTACATTACCTACAGATTATAAAGAAAAGTTCCACAAAATAATCATCATATTATCTGAACATCTTTTAATATTCAACAACGGATCTTAATCAGATACATCTAGTGCATCAGCCTTTGTCACCCCTGACACTACCTATAAATATAAATTCCATCAGTTTTCGTTAGTAGCGGATCTCCAAAAAGAAAAACAGTTTCTCTAGAACTCTTAAACTTACAAACTCTATTACATGGAGTAATTGTATAAATTAATAACTATGTATTCACTCATCAGAGGACAAGTTTAAGTTGTAATGCTCAACAAATTATTTTATGATGATAAGTATCTTGGTATGAATGTTGACGTGGATTTGAAATTTTGTTTTCCGTGGAGAATGCCACTCCCAACTTCGGCTGACAACTTTATATTATCTAAGGAGTGTGCTGTTTCATGTTGGCCTGAAAAAAAATCAAACGATGCGATAGTGCCCCATTCAATGGACGCCATTTTGTTAGACCAGTGCGAATCTAATGCACATTATAACAATATATGAATTAAAGTATTCATCAAATAAGTTCCAAAATTACGACTGGGCTCTTGGACTACTAACATGGTTTGTCTTGCAGATTGTCGCCATTATACTCCTATAAAATATAATAATTACCTCTTCTAACCAAATCTTAACCTATTCTCCATTCCATAATCTCTTATTCTTTAAACGTTTTTGTATATAGGCTACTTTTCGGAACCACAAAATATCGCTTAAATATTGGATGATAAATAATCAGGACGCATTCTTTTTCATTTAAAAATTTTTTGTATTTTTTATTCATGCCACATTATAATATTAAAAAAAAAAATGCGTTCTGATTATTTATCGCCCATGATAAGTAGAACAGTCGACTAACTTCCTTCAATAACCATCGTATAGATACAACATGTGCTTTACCGTATGTATACAATATGGCACTAGCGGATCCAGGATTTAATTTGGGGGGGAGCTTCAGCCCGAAAGCTTTTTTTTTTCTTAAAAATGAGGATAATTACTTGGGAAAAATAGAAAGAAACTAACTATCTATATGAAATGGTGTTTAAGTGATTCCTTAAGTCCTTTTAAAAGTAATTACACGAACAATAATACTTAAAGACATAATTTTTTAATATTTTTTTCCATAAAACATGGTTATATTTTACCATTATGGGGGGGGCTTCAGCCCAAAAGCCCCCCCCCCCCGTATATCCGCCCGTGCAATATGGTAAAAGATATTTGACAAAGCATACTCCTGTCTGATGGTTGACAACACTATTCTATGTCTTTTCTCGTGCTTCTCGTGTAGCATTAATAAATTATTATTATATTAAATAGCTTTGTTATATTTTTTATATTATTTAAATGTTCATCGCCACGTTTTATTTTTTGCAGGAAAACGCTGACTTGCTGACGCCTGTGGGAGTTGAAAAGATTGCCAAAGCGCCTGGTTCTTATCAGACGAGCAGGTGATAAGGAATAGTGCTTCCCTTATTTCTACTTCTGGATCGCTACTGATACCAGTACATCAAGCCTCCCTTCGGCGAGCCCAGGTAAACTTTAATAGTCGTATTACTTTATTATTTTTATGGTAGTTTTTATATTGAAATTCGCGATGTTATCGATTGTGGCGGTGCGCCTCTGTTTTATTCATGTTATAAATGGACTACACACGATTAGTGCATGACCACGTGCGATTGATTTATAAATTTAATCCGAAATTTATGTGAAAAATACAAAAAACAAACACAACAAAAAAAATGCTCACTTTTAAAGTACTAATACTAAAAATATTTGTTTAAATTATTGAATGTTTTTAATACGTTATGTTTTAAACTGTTTAATGAAAACATATTTATTGAGCGAATAAGATATTTTTAATTATTTTTATCAGTATTGTTTTTACTAAACTCGTTGTATCTATATAAAATTATGTAAGTAAATTTATAATTATATTATTTTATTTATGAAATTATTGTAGTTAGTTAGGAAAGGAAATGAGAGCAATGTTTACCAAGTTGAAAATTATTTTCCGGAATCCAAACAATTAATGTAAATGTACCTTATACCGTTGTAAAGCTCAAGATTTTAGAAAAAATAATACAAAGTGACGAATAGCTAATGATATTCAACTGTTACTGTCGTCTACCTTTATTATTATTGTTTATTATTTACTGGGAAATAAATATCTCCATAGGGGCTAAATGAAATTTTCATTAAAAATAAATAAAAAATATGAAAATATATGTTCGATTTGAGTCACATCAACTTAATGGAGGCAACTCACACCTACCGGATTTAGCAGAAATTAACAAGGATTCGTGGTTTAGTTTTCCAGAATGTTAGCTGCTCACAGATGGTTTGGTCCATGAACAGTCTTTTTCAGATAAGGAAATTTGCGTCCTCTTGAGCCTGCTGACTGTGAGTAGCCATAATCGATGGATCTAGACCGATTTGTCATGGTCCTTGAACTGCAGTGAGACGTTAGGAAGGACAATGCCAGATTGAGCCCAACTAAGGACTCGACTATGGAGCTATGAGTGGCTTGTAGCTGCACGATAGAGACGTAGATCCATGCCAACGTGAGGTTGGATGGCCCTCCTCCATATTACCTGTACTCTCACTAGCAATATGAAAGTCTGTATGACTAACTCATAGTTCGGCCAAAGATCTACGTTTTCTGTTACGTCAACCTAAACAAAATGTACTGGGAAAACTTAAAATGACCATAAACCTGAAAATACGAATACCAAAATCAGTAAAATTGTACTTATTGTTTACCTGAAGCGAATAATTTTAGAAATTATACTGATAATTGAAAGTTCTAGATCTTTTCACTTGTACTTCACTACTATCTCTGAATCCATCGATTTGGATATGTTAAAAAAATAGGGGTATTCATGCAGGTAGTGGTAAATGTTTTATGTATTATCATGCAAAGCAGTCAGCGCAAATTCAAAGTGAAATGATCGTTGTGTGATAATCTGCTAAAGTGTTATGATTGTATTATAAACAAAGTTTGTGAGTTCTGCTTGATTGATTTAATAAAGTTTTGATTTATTTTTTAAATGTCAAAGCGAAATAAAAAGGCAGAATTGCTGGATTATTTGAATAGAAATGCTTTAATAGGAAGCATGAATGATGATTCAGAAGGCAAAGAAGTAGATTTTCTTGCTGGATCATTGAAGAAGACTTCTCATTGGTGCTACGATGATGCCAGATTTAGGCAGATGGTGATGGTTGATAGGTACCTGTTTAATGTTAAATTAAATGAAGTCCAAGACCTTTTTCTCTCAAATTGTTTATGGTATTGTTGAGGCTTCTACTGGTAGACTGTTATTGTACAAAGAACTAAACACGGCTCAAAATCTCAACATAACCTTCTCCGTGCATTTACGAAATTAGCATCACTTTACCCGATCTCTGACTACGTTAAAACCGAGTGAGCTAGCTCCTATATTTAACACACATTTATTAAATACATTTCTCGACTTTTATACATTTAAGAGGTCTGCAATACTTAGCACCGGTTGCATTAATACCTAGTATTAGTAATGATTGTATTTCTATCACATACTTGATGGTGATGGTGTGACGAAAATATCTCAACTATCTTCCCTCTGATAATTAATACTTATGTACACATAGGGCCTTGATGCCCAATGCCCTTGATTGTGGCAGATTCTATTATTTCAATAAAAATATAATTATTAATTAATATTTATTTTGTATAAATAATATTTATTTTGTTATTTTAAATAAATTCGAAGCTCTTTTTATGTAAACTCTTAACCCGATGCTCATTTTCTGATGGCAATTTTCGTTAAAATTGCATAAATAATTGATGAGATTGCTATTGCTAAGTTCTGGCGTGAATATATCGGCAATAGATTGACTGATTGAGAATCTAAAAACTCTTTAAGGTATTCTTTGAACTAGTTTTTACCTAGTCGAAGGATGATGTAATATTCATTCCAACCGAGTCTGTTTTACATATGGAAATTTTTATGTCATATCTTTCTTAAAGAGTATTCAGTAATACTTTTCACTCGAAGTCTCCAGAATGTGGCGTAGCTGACATTCAACATTCTCCAGTCTGAAGTAGAGAATGTCGAGAATTCAACCTGAACTAGGTTGAGGTTTATTTTGTAGGATTCACGGAATTTGAATCTCGATCTTCTCACTCTACATTTATTTAGTAAAGAAAATAATTTAATTAAATATGAATAGTTAAGATTTTCGAAATTAGCTAAGAAAAAAAAAAAACTTGTACCATTACAACCCATTAAGGGTCTTGAGTTCAGTACTTTGTAAAGAAGTACTTTTTCTTGGTCTACGTTTGTGCAAGGAGGAACTTTGACCGAGATCACGCTCAACCGCCAGGTTTTCTCACTTAATTAATTATTTAATTAAGGTTACCCACTGGGGTGTACCAGAGGCTGGGTGTGCCCCAGGAGGTCCTCCCTACTCCAGTGTCGATCCACAGCCGATGGAACAGAACAAATAATTTATCTGCGTCAGCCGGTGTGTTATCTAGAGTAAATATTTTTTTAGGAGGAAACAAAGTTCGCATCTCCCTTAAAAAAAACCTTAAATACGTTTTTTTATAGCAAACGAAAAATTTCAATTTTTAGCACGAAATTTTTGTCTAGGCTGGTTGGACCTTTAGAAATTTCGTCATCGAACACAAAAAATGTGATAACTTTTGAACGGCTTCACCGATACACACGAAAATTAATAGGCCTCTGCTTGCTACACGAAATGGTATAAGCCCGATCTTCGTATACAAATTAAAACTAAAGATATAAAATGCAAATCGGTTAGAAGTTATCCTTAACGGATGATTGGTAATTCAGCTTTCCAGCAGCTATAAGAAATTTGAATTTGAAGAAAATCCTGAGGAGTTACGGATGCTTTAGTTGTCGGGCGGAAAAAAATTCTCCAAGAACATTATGTACTAAAGCTTTAATTTTTTCACTGATATAGCAATTCGTATTCAAGAGTTTTAAAGGCTCCTAAAAAAAGGATTCTGATTTGCTTTTATAACAAAAATTGACTTGCTTTACTTTATTAAAAGCACATTTTGGTTTTTATAATTTATGATACATTAGAACTCATTTAATACAATAGTTAATATTTTTTTTTTATTCTGCTCAAAAACAACAAATCAATTGTTATATAGTAACGTAAAAATCCGGGCAAAGCAAAGGCAAAATAACGTAAATTTTGCTTGAAATAAAATAAGATTTTTTTTTCTCGACTCCTAGAGCCCATTAGAAAGAACATCGAGATATGTGTCGGATGTTTTTCTGTGCAGTATCACCAATAAACCCACGATATTACTTTTACTGTTTTGTTTTTAAATATATTGTATTTTTTTGTTTTCTCTATGACATCATACGATTTAAAGATACTGTATTTACTCTTCCAAAATTGTGATTTTTTTTTTACTTGTTGGAACATGGTTTAACTTGTTAGTGCATTTAATTTAACCAGGTTAAACTAGAAAATTCTGGTACTAATAAGTGACCTTCATCCGGTAAAGATAATTTTGACTTGGGTAATCTTATTTTTTCGGTGTTTTTTTTTTTCTTCGCTCCTTGCAAACAAGGAAGTTATTCTAATCGGGTCTGATATAAATTCTAGAAAAAAAAAATGATCGGCCTAACACCAGGGAAGATAAATTGTTATTGGTCTTGGCATTCAAAACGTTACGAAAAGTCGTGCGAGTGGGTATACCACATATTTGGACTTGAAGAAGTAAACCGGCGTTTTTCTAACGGATTCGAAAGAAAATGTTTTAAGAAAACATTCCCGGTATGTGGAACCGACTATATAAGATGAAGGAATTCTTGGCAATGCTAACAACGTCGGAATGATTGATTATTTACTGGCTGATGAAATATTACGGTGGCCCGTTTGGCAAACTGCTTCAGGAATTGAATAAATCTCTATTTATAAGAAATGCAGTCTTCAAGAGAATTTATCTAACTCAAGGCGCGTGGACGATATCTGTAGGCGCCTCTTACTAGGGGAGAGGCACTTACTGGGTCAGTGAGTCACCGATTTTAACCATTTTTTTTTCTGTGTGGCTACATCGAAAAATATTAGACACATGACTCGGCATCATCCTCATGAGCCCTTTTAGGTGCGAAAAGCGAAAATGTTTTTTTTTTTTTTGAGGTGCAAAAACGAATATCGACTTTGTTTCTCCCTAAGAAAATATTACTCGCACATTGCTGATCCGGTTGGTCCAAATTGTGCCCATATTGTAGATATCTTCCAAATATAATATTCATTCAGAACCAATCTGTTATCTAGAGTCACAGGCGGATCTACAGAGGAGGGGAAAGGCCTCTCGTTCTGAATCCTCATCCCTTCCCCCTTGATTTCTAATAACAAAAATTGACTTTGCCTACTTCGTTTTTTAAATTTATTGTTGTTTTTTTTTAAGTATGCCTCTCCTTATCGGCTACCGCTATTAGAGATCTTGCAAGCCAGTACCATTCCGATTTGGACGACGTGGTATCTCTCATGTTCACCAAGCGCGAAC